CAGCATCAGCATCAGCATCAGCATCAGCACCAGCACCAGCATCATAGTCAGAATCAGCATCATCATCAGCAGCAGCAGAAGCATCATCGACATCGTCATCATCATCCTCCTTCTCCTCCTCATCATCATCATCAACATGATCATAATCAGCCGCAGCAGCAGCACCGGCAGCATAATGCCATCAACCAAATAATAACCAGTATCATCAGCAGCAGCAGCCTTAATCATCATCAACAGCATCCTCGCCATCGTCATCATCATCATAATCATCATCATCATCAGTATCATCATCAACACCATCATCATGATAATCATCAGCATCATCATCATCATCATCATCATCATCATCATCATCATCGGCAGCAACATCAGCATCCTCATCATCATCATCATCATCATCATCATCATCATCATCATGATCAGCATCCCCATCATCATCCTCATCCTCATCATGATCAACATCATCACCAGCAGCAGCAGCATTATCATCATCGTCAGCATCATCATCAGCGTCATCAGCATCAGCATCCGCATCCGAATCATCAGCATTTTCTTCTCCTCCAGCATCATCGTCATCATCAGCATCAGCATCGTCATCGGCAGCAGCAGCAGCCGCAGCAGCAGCAACAGCAGCTGCAGTCTAATCCTCAGCATCATCATCATCGTCATCATCACTATCTGCATCATCATCGTCATCACCATCATCAACCCCACCACAACCAACACCAGCATCAGCATCAGCATCACCAGCATCAGCATCCTCATCAGCATCATTCCCGTCATTACCATCATCACACATGATCATTATAACAATAATAGTCATCCTCGCCATCAGTACCATCATCAGCATCATCAGCACCATCAGCACCATCAGCATCAACATCATCATCATCATCATCATCATCATCATCAACATCATCATCATCATCATCATCATCATCATCATCATCATCATCATCATCATCATCATAATCGGCATCATCAGCATCATCAGCATCATCATCAGCAGCACCATCGTCATTGTCATCGACATCGGCCTCGTTATCATCACAATCATCATCAGCATCATCAGCAGTACCAACATATTCATGATCATCATCATCGTCGCCGGCGTCTTCATCATCATTGTCATTACCATCATCATTATCATGCTCGTCGTCGTCGTCAACGTCGCCGTCGTCATCGTCATCACCATCAGCATCATCATCATCATCATCATCATCATCATCATCATCATCATCATCATCATCATCATCATCATCGTCACCATTATCATCGTCATCGTCAGCAGCAGCAGCAACATCAGCATCAGCGTCCGTATCATCATTCGAATCAGCAGCAGCGGGCATAATTGGCAACTGCAGCAGCAGCAGCAGCTGCATAATCATCATCACCAGCATCGTCATCATCGTCAGTGTCACCACTACCACCACCACCGCCATAGTCATTGGCACCTGCATGAGCAGCAGCATCAGCAGCAGCAGCAGCATGAAGAGCATTACCAGCCGCAGCATCATCAGCAACATCAGCAGTATCACCTCATCATCAGCATCAGCAGCAGCTGCATCAGCATCAGCATCTTCATCAGCAGCAGCATCATCGCCCCGCAGCGGCAGCCATCCATCCAGGCAACACCTCGGCGCTGGCCGCACCCCCATCCAGACACGGCCTCGACGCTGGCCGCACCCTCCCCGTCCTCCTCGTCGTCCTCCCTCGTCCTCATCTAGCTCCCCCTCCCCAGCCCCCTTCCCCTCCTCCTCCACCTCCTCATCCATTCCTTTTCCGATTCAAATGACTCCTCCATGCCGCACCCTGGGGCCAGTCGAAAGGGTGGGCTGGGCGGTTCGCCTGAGGCTTCCTCGCCATACATGACCCTGAAGTTCCAAGATAAGCAACAGTTTCACACAAGGAGAACGGGAGATTGTCAAAGAGTGGCTCTCGCATGAGCTCCGCGCGCATCCGTCTTACAAAGTTGCAAGAGCTTCACGGATTGAGGTCGGATCGGTTTTAAAATGTGCCTCTCACCTTAGCGCTGCGCACACTCGTCCAAAAAAAACTGGAAGAGGTTCACTGGTTCCCATGGTTAAATGAGCAGTAATGGTCTTTCGGAGCTGTTCACGACTGTCAGGGCACAACCGCTACGTTGATTCGTGGCGTTGACGCCCAAGGAATGGCGTTCTGGTGCGATTCGGGTCGCCAAGACGCAAAAGTTCAATTGACTAGCGGCGTTGAAGTTCCGAGAATGGTGTGTTGGCAAGTTTCAGGATCATCAAACAGTCGTCTGCCAACGGGACACTTCCTTCAGTGGAAATGATTCCCTGTAGGGGGCCATGAAAAGGAAGCTTGGGGAGAGGGTTTACTCCAACACCGTTGATGAGTCTTGGGTGTATACTGGTCCTCGTCCTCCTCCTCCTCCACCTCGTCGTCATCATCATCAGCAGCAGCAACATCATCAGCAGCAGCATAACCATCAGCATCATCAGCATAACCATCAGCATCAGCATCAGCATCATCATGCGCAACAGCGACAGCTGCATCAGTATCGTCAGCAGCAGCATCATCATCAGCAGCATCAGCAGCAGCATTAGCATCATCAAAATGGTCATCACCCCCATATGGTCACCATCATCACCACCACCAGCATCATCATCACCAGCAGCATCAACCACAGCATCAGCAACATCATTAAAACAAAATGAATAAGAACAACAACAGAAAAACAAACTCCATCACAAACAACAACATCAACAACAACAGCAACAACCACAACATCAACAGCAGCAACAACCCTGATAACCACAACACCATCAACAACAAAAACAACAGTAGCAAAAACAACAGCAGCCGCAACGACAACGGCATCAAGATCATCATCATCAGCAGCAGCAGCATCCTCACATCATCATCATCATCATCATCATCATCATCATCAGCATCATCATCATCATCATCATCATCAACATCAGAATCATCATCGGCATCAGCAGAGCAGCATCAAAATCGTCTTCGTTATCATCATCGTCATCACCGTCGTCAACATCAATACCACCACCATTTTCATCATCATCATCATCACCACCATCATCATCATCATCAGCATCATCATCATCATCATCATCATCATCATCATCATCATCATCATCATCATCATCCGCATCCTCATCCGCATCCTCATCCTCATCCTCCTCCTCATCATCGTCGCCCTCGTATTCAGAATCAGCAGCATCATCATCGTCATCATCGTCGTCCTCATTACCGTCATCAGCAGAATCATCATCATCATCATCATCATCAGCAGCAGCACAAGCATCATCAAAGTCGTCGTCAACAGCATCATCATCATCATCATCATCCTCATCATCACCATCTTCGTCATCGCAATCAGAATGATCAGCAGCAGCAGCACCATCAGCATCATCATCCTCATCATCATCCTCATCATCATCACCTTCATCCTCATCGTCATCATCAGCATCCTCATCCTCCTCCTCACCGTCACCACCACCAACAACACCACCATCATCATCATCATCATCATCAGCGTCAGCATGAACAACAACAGCAACAACCACAACATCAACAGCACCAGCAACAACAACACTGATAACCACAACACCAACAACAACAAAAACAACAACACCAAGAACAACAGCAGCAGAAACGACAACGGCATCAAGATCATCATCATCAGCAGCAGCATCCTCACATCATCATCATAATCATCATCCTCATCACCATCAGCATCATCATCAGCATCATCATCATCATCCACCTCCTCATCCTCATCACCTTCATCCTCATCGTCATCATCAGCATCCTCATCCTCCTCCTCCTTCTCATCGTCACCACCACCAACACCACCACCATCATCATCATCATCATCATCATCATCATCAGCGTCAGCATTAACAACATCATCATCATCATCATCATCAGAGTCGCCCTCGTGATCGCTATCGTCATCAGCATCATCATCATCATCATCGTAATCATCATCATCATTATCATCATCATCATCATCATCAGCATCATCATCATCATCATCATCATCATCATCGTCGTCATCATCATCTTCATCAGCATCATCATCCAATCCACCCAAAGGGCCGCCTCCGCGTCCGGCGCTGGCAGCGCACCAGGCTTGCCGGACAGCCTGATCTCGCCTCTCGGGGGGGGGGGCGCGGGCGGCGGGGCGCGCCGCACGCAGCCGCCAGCGGGAGGGGCCAGAGCCAAGACGACGACGAGGACGACGAGAGCGACGACGACGACGACAACGACGACGGCGAAGACGAAAACGACGACGCCGACGACGACGACGACGACGACGACGACGACGACGACGACGGGCGGCGGACGGCGGACGGCGGACGGCGGACGGCGGGCTCCCTGCGCCTGCAGTGCGCAGCGCACTACACTCACCTGGAAAAGCAATGCAACTCTCGCGCGTGGTCCGTCCGCCCGCCTCCACGAGGCCCGGCCAGGCCCCAAAATCAGTTCCCGAGACGCCCACGAGAGGCCCCAGGTGGTGCCCAAAAAGCCAACGACACCTCAACCGTGGACTCCTCGCCTCGTCAGGGGGTCGGCGGCATGGCGGAAGCCTCTGGAATAAATAGCGCAGCTCTCCCGCGCGGTCCGTCGGCCCGCGCCCTTCCACTTCAGCGTTCGCGCGGCTCGCCGCGCGATCCAGTTTTTCCGCCGTCGGCAGCGGGCGGACTCGATTGAGATCGGGGGTCGGGGGGGGCGGGAGGGGGGAGGGGGCAACAACAACAACCACAACAACAACAACAACAACAACAACAACAACAATCATTTAAGACTGGGGACACTCCGTTCTCACCAGTGCCAGGGTTTTCATAGGAGGCGGGCAATACCCCCACTTTGTGGGGGGGCCGGTTCAAGCTCTACCAAATTTCCAAACGACTCTTCGCCACCACCCACACCCAGCTTCCCGCCCTATGACGTTCGGACACTTCACTTCGTGGCATGCGGACGACCGTGGCTACTATTCAGGGCCCCGCGGCCGACGACGACGGCGTGCGCGCGCGAAGAAAAAACGAATGTGTCCCGCATGGTATTATTTGACAGGGATGATGGCCCTGGCAGGTGCGCAACCGTTGTCGCAGAAGTTCGAAAAAGTTGCTCGCAAAAGCCCGTTTGACAGAAATGTTTAAAAAGTGTTGGGTTTCCTACGAATCCGCAAGAGCGCGCGGGATGAGATTTTGACATTTTTTTGTTGAAAAACCATTGGTTTTTTGATGTTTTTATGTTAAAATCGCTCCGAACACTAAGCTTTTGGAAGGATTTCGTCTTGCGCGCGCGAATGTCCACTTTACCTTATTTTTTGCAAGGGATTCTTGAAATTTGATTATATTAGAACAAGAAATGTCATTTTATAGTGTTTTTTGCAAGGGAAAACGGATTACAACAAAACAACCGGATCTGGATCACATCGTTTTACCTGAGGCTTCCTCACGAAAATGATGAAAATGTGGCTGCGGCCTAGGCGCGGGGGGGGGCGTGCACCAGGGGGCCCAACAATAATTATTCTTTAGAATAATAATAATTCAACAACAACAACAACAACAACAACAACAACAACAACAACAACAACAACAACAACAACAACAACAACAACAACAACAACAACAGCAGCAGCAGCAGCAGCAGCAACAGCAACAGCAACAACAACAACCATTCTAAGACGGTTCGCTCTTACTTGCCCGTGTGTCATTCAAAACGAGTTCCCCACACTCTCGATACCAGCACGATTTCTCTTCGATCACACCCCCGTTGGGGGGATTGTTTCTCTTTGCGGGGGGCGGCGGGCTTAGACAGGCGGGCAAACCTGAACGGGCGGACAATCCTTCGTGGGCGTGCATGTGTTCGCCGTTGGAATTGGTGTGGGCCCTGCAGAAAGAGCAGGGGGAGAACAAGGGAGAGCGGAAGGAAGGGAAGGGGAGGGACGAAGGAAGAGGGAAACGCCAGCAGAGAAGGAGCGAAGAGGGGGGCGGTTGAATAGAGGCAGAGAGAGAGAGAGAGAACAAAAGAAAAAAGAGAGAGAGAGAGAGAGAAAAAAAAAAAAGAGAGGTAGAGAGAAAGAGAGAAAGAGAGAGAGAGAGAAAGAAAAAGGGAGGGAGGAGGCAGGAGAGGGGAGGGAGACGGGAGGAGGGAGAGGAGGGAGAGGGGACAGGGCAGAGAGGCATAAGGATGAGGGAAGAGAGGAGGGAGAGAGAAAGGAGGAGAGGAGGGAGGAGGGAGGAGGGAGAGGGAGGAGGAGCAGGAAGGTAAGAGCGTGAACGTTCGAGGAAGTCCTAGGCGAAAGCGCCGTTCCTGAAGGAAGTCTCGGGAGGGAGCCCACGACGGGCGGGCGATCCCCTGACGGGCGGGTCGGGCGGGTGGAACATTCAAGCGGGATGCCTGAGTATGGCGAGAGCGCGATTCCTAAGTAAATTGTGACGGCGTCCTTGGCGCAGCGTATTTCCTGAGCGTCGAAAGCGCGATGTCTGAATAAATTGCATGGAAGTCCCTGAATAACATGTGAAGGGTTCTCTGGCGGGAGCGGGGGTATTGATTAAATTGCGTGGAAGTCTTGACTCAATTGCGATGAAGTCTCAAGCGGGAGCGCCGTTCCTGAGAAAATTGTGAGGAAGTCTCAGATGGGAGCGGGGGTCCTGACTAAATTGCGAGGAAGTCACAGGCGGGAGCAACGATCCTGAGTAACTTGTGAGGCATTCTCAGGCTGGGGCGGGGGTCCTGAGTAAATTTGGAAGAAGTCTCAGGCGGGAGCCGTTGTTGTTGTAATCCGGGGGGCCAGGGGCACAGTTTGAGCATCAAGACTTCCCCTGTCAAAAAACAGGATGCGAGCGTCGAGGGGCACACTTTGATTGAGAAAAACAATATGCACCGGTGAGGGGGGATCAACAATAATTATGATTCAGAAGTGGGAGTTCAACAACAACAACAACAACAACAACAACAACAACAACAACAACAACAACAACAACAACAACAACAGCGGCTGCGGTACTTTTCCTGGGAGGTGCAGGGCAGCCGCCGCCGCCGCCCCCTCCTCCCGACCCTTCGGGGGAGGGGGCGGGGGAGACGCTGAGAGCCGGCGTCGCATTTTTCCACGCTGGGCGACCTCGCCTTGTTTCGAGCCGGATCGAGACATGCCGCGGAAAAGCAGAAAGTCAGGGTCTAGGGTCTGGGGTCTAGCGTCCAGGGTCTAGGGTCTAGGGTCTGGGGTCTAGGGTCTAAGGTCTATAGGTTCTGGGGTCTAGGGTCTAGGATCTAGGGTCTGGGGCTCTGCACGTGAATTGCCCCGACGAGATGGCTTGTTCGCAACGTCGGACATCAGGCGGAGGGGGCCGAGCAGCATCGAGAGGGCTCGGGAAACTCTGCACGGGGCGGACAGGATGGAGAAGGCCGTCGGGGGGGGGAGGCCGTCGGGGGGGAGGAGGATAAGGAGGAGGAGGAGGAGGAGGAGGAGGAGGAGGAGGA